AGAAATGTGTCAGATATTGTGCTGCAAAGAGAGAGACTTTCTAATTTGAACCACTGCCTACTCTGAAAACACAACAAAGGCAGTTCAAACTGCGGTATGAAAGGCAGCAACCAGCTTTACACCATTTACTTGAGAACAGCTACTGCTCTGCGCCACGTGCCACGCGTACTCGGCCCCCTCGCCGCTGGGATTTAAAGCGCAGTGAAAGAAAACTCTCCAAATCCAGAATAACACAAGTTGACGCAGATTCATGGCACACGAAGGGCAGAGATTTTTTTTTTTTTTTTTTTTTGTCAGCATTGGGCATTGCAGGCCATTAAAAAAGAGTACGCAAATACGATTTCAGCGATGTTGTTGGAGCCCTGCTGCAGCATCGCCTGCCGGTCGGCTGCCAGCCCACGCTGAGCCCGGCAGCGAGGGACAGGCAATAGCAAGCAGCTCCCTTAGCAAACGAAACGTCGTGGGAAGAGTGCTTTCCTCCCCCAACGTACCCGTTATCATCCTCCACACTCAGCTCGTGCCCGATCCAGCAACACAATGCTCCAAAGGCGAGCAAGGCTTTTTGCATTGGTTTCATCAGCTCAGCTCGGCCATGTCACGGTGGTGGCGTTTTCTAAGCAAAATTATATTATGGAGCATGTGCTAGGAAAGCCAAAGAAAATATTCTTTAGGAGGTGAGCAGATATTTTATTTATTTATAGTACAAATGTTCTTTCTCCAAATAAATCCTGAGCTTCCTGCGGATCCGGTACTCCTTCTGAAGTCCGACAGAAACACTCCAGCACACCTAGCAGGTAATTTATAGATGTTTTTATAAGATAAAGGGCTTGAAATGCTCTGTCACCTGCAGAACAAGGGAAAGGGGTATTTGCTACTTTGGATTATAACCCCCATGAAAAGCTATCAGACTCTGCCCATCATTTTGGGACTATTTTTGTTGGGTTTTAGCAGCCACATCCTTCCAGCGAGGAGCATCTCTGGGTTAAATATGGAGCAACAGCAGCAAGAGGTAACTGAACAAAACGCCACATGTGCAAATATTCAGCAATATTCTCTTTTGCAGACTCCATCACCTGCTGTTTTCATACACTGCTTTTTTAACATGACTTTCTTCTTCAGAAAAATAAAAGTGTATGAGAAAGGGATTCTTTTAAGGCTGAATAACACAACAGAACAGAAGAGGACAACAGACCCAGATGCGGCGAGCGAGGAAGAGAAGGTACTTTGTGTTCACGGAATTTGAAGAGGAATGGCAATATTCAGGTAGGGGAGTTGGGCCTGGGTTTAGATGCAGCAAAGCTTTTTGGCACAGCAGCATGAAAAGCACGGTCACAGCAGAGCCCCAGCAGCGGGTCAATAGCTGGAGCCTCTCAAATCGGATCCAAAGGTCAGCGATCTCAGCAGTGCAATCCTCCCTCTCTGGTTTTCCAAGCACAAGAGGAACAACCTACATCAGGCAGGTTCCTTGACACAATTTCCAGGTTGGCTTTTCTAAAATACCTGGTTTTTCCTTGGAAAGAAGGCAAATTCAGGACAAACAGGGATTCAGTGAAATTCTATTAAATTCTTTGGGGAACATCTTTTTTAAAAAAAAAAAAAAAAGTTGATACTTCAACTGTTTTCACTTGAAAATCCATTCCATGTTTTCTGTTCATTTTTGGTTTGGCATTTCATTTCCACACGAACTGAAAGTTATACTTAGCGCTGTCCTGCCGGTATTTTTGCTGGATGAGCGCGCCGCCCCGTTCCCAGCTGGCTCAGCGCAGCTCCCTGGAAGGCTCCAGGTGATGGAGGGTGTATTTGTAGCTCTGCCTGGAGCTGTGTAATAGAGCAAAATCCACCTTTGATGAAAGAAATGTAACAGCAGCCTAGTGGGAGATGATCCTCCCAGCATAAAAGCAGCCAGGTACTCGATTCCGTGATCTCAATAGCCCCTGTTGGCTGTTTAGTTTATTGCTGTGGACAGCAGCAACTGTCATAATTAAAAAATCACCGCTGCAATCACCATCACCAGCCATGCAGCTCCAACACAAAATTTCAAATCTGACATTGGAAACAGTTTTGCAGCCTCTAACCAGCCGGGGGGTAGCAGTGAGATCCAGACCGTGACCCCAGGGCTGCGGACACCAGGTCTGATGAAACCCACATGCATTATACAGCAAAAATTAAGCCAGGAGAAAAAGCAAACAGGAACCAGGGACATGCAGGATGGTGCGCAACATCCCCAGTGATTTTCATGAAACCATCGACTAAATCCAGTAGCCTCCCTTTAAACAGACCTTTGGCATGTTTGTTCAGAAGAGCTACATGATTGCAAACGTCCAGCTCTCAGAAAACTCTCATGGAAGTTTACTTTGGATGTTTCCTCCCTCCTGCAGGAGTCAAAAGGACTTTGGATGCTTTGTGGGACCAGCTGTTGGCAGCAGTGGATACCTACCCGCCTCTGTTGTGGAGCAGGAACTGTACCGGATTTGTGCCTGTAGCTTGAAGCAAAGCACAGCCTGCACGGCAGGGCGGGACCACGGAGAGACGCGGTCCCAACAGCCAGAAGCACAACTGGCTTCAATGTCCCGAGCCCAAGGTATAAAATAGAATAGAATCATTAAGGTTGGAAAAGACCTCTAAGATTATCTAGTCCAACCATCAACCCAACACTATCATACCCACTAAACCATGTCCCAAAGTGCCATGTCTACATGTTTTTTGAACACTTCCAGGGATGGGGACCCCACCACCTCTCTGGGCAGCCTGTTCCAATGCTTGACTACCCTTTCCATTAAGAAATTTCTCCTAATATCCAATCTAAACCTCCCCTGGCACAGCTTGAGCCCATTTCCTCTCATCCTATCGCTAACTACTTGGGAGAAGAGCCCGACCCCCCCTCCCTGCCCCCTCCCGTCAGGAGCTGCAGAGAGCGATGAGGTCTCCCCTCAGCCTCCTCTTCTCCAGGCTGAACACCCCCAGCTCCCTCAGCCGCTCCCCACCAGCCCTGTGCTCCAGACCCTGCCCCAGCTCCGCTGCCCTTCTCTGGACACGCCCCAGCACCCCAATGTCCTTCTTGTGCTGAGGGGCCCAAAACCGGACACAGATCTTGCTCAAATAATTTTATGCAGCCTTTACACAGGAGCCCTGAGGAATCTCTCAAAAAGCTCGCTTGCTTACCGCAGAGAGTGACTTAACTTCTCGTATTTGGCCTGCAGAAACAGCACCTGACAGGCAGCTCAGCTTGAATATGGATTATATGCACGCAGATGAAGAGCAAGGCCATCCATTCACACCCAGCCCATCTCACAGCACCACGGTCAAGATGCTCAAGTCATCATCAGAACAACCTAGTCTAGCAGAAAGAAAACATTACACAGTTCACCAAGCTCATAATGATTTTTCTATCAGGATGTTTTTCTTACCAATGCAATTCCTTTTTTCTCCAATACACCCATATGTGGAAATACGCTTTACTGCCCAAAAATAAATTCCAGTCTCTGATACAATCATTTCTTTCCAAAGAATGTAGGGGGGGGGGGAAATCAGTGTAATATGCCACTACTCTCCTGAACTTCCTGCATTATGTCAATACAGAAAATTATTACTTATGTTAATTATTACTTGCTGTCTACTATCAGCATTAAACAAATAATATGTGTAACAATAGAATTGTGGATGAAAAAAAGCATTTAAATTGACAGGTCTTCAGGTCTTTCTCTATTTGTATTTACCATCCCTGGCTGACATCATGACCCCTGGGGTTTTTTTTGCTTTTGTGGGTGGTTTTTTTTGGTTTTTTTTTTTTTTTTTCCCTCCCACATAGGGTGAAAACAGGAGCTGTTTTCTCCAAAATGACCTACAACAGTTGCTAAAAAAGTCTGGCAAAACACATCTGACACTACGATTTAGTGGCATTTACAGTCTCACCAAATCTTCAATCTACAGATTTCAGTGTAAAAAAGGTGTTATAAATGGATAGTCATTTGCCTTTTTTCAGTAATTATGTGAAGACAAAGACTGAAAAAAAGCCAACGATGGAAGGATGTGCTAAACCCAGGGGGAAAAAAACCCCTAAATTAGAACTCTTCAGTCTCAGTTGTTATGCTAAATTATTTTACCTTATCCTTAAAAAAAAAAGTTTCAAACTTAAGAGTTTGCTTCAAACACATTTATTAGTTTAACACATTAATCTTTTCTCCAGAGAAGGTAAATATGACTGCCTTATGACTTGTAGGTAGAAATCTGTTTACTTTAATTATAAAAACTGCAAAGATGACCACCACCTTAAAATAAAGGAACATTCTCATTTTATTTTAAAAACCAACATTACATAAAACAGTACAGAGATTTTCAAGTTCTGAGCACTTTCTGGACCCTGCTGAGGCACAGATTGGGAAAGTACATTTGCACAGTCTCGAATGGCTCATTTTTGCACACCTGACCTCCCTAATTCAGCTTCTGTCCTGGTTTTCTCTCCCCGCCCATACCAGGCTGCTCTCTGCCACTGTCACAGCCACAGATGTTGAAAATGCGGCTGAACATCAGCACCATCTTAAGCTATCTTCCCCTCACTCCCACTTCTTTGAGTGCCTTTCTCTTACAAGTGTTCGCAGCAGGCAGAAGGAATGGTATAGAAGCCACTACTTTGCCTCTCTAAAACCACAGGACAGCTTTTGGACATAGTTTATCCTCCCCAGAATGACTAATCTGGATTTAGCATGAAATATTACAAGTATCGAGGCACACAGCTACACAACACTGTGTGGAACTGTGCTTCTAGGTAACAGGTCCATTAGTATCAGTTCTGCTACCAAACTTTATGCTACTAACTTGCAAAAGATCGGGAAAGTGGATTCAACATATCCCTCAAGAACTGATAATAAAATACTTTCTAAAAGACTATTTGGAGCAAGGCACTCTTTTTGCTAAGTACTCTTCGAGCACAGCAGCAAATTTCTCAATACAGAACTACCTAACGTTTTCAGAAAACAGACGCTGAGAAGGTACCACGTTACTTAGCTTTGCTTGAATGCAAAAGCTGACAATCTGACATTTGTAGATTGATCTAAAGGCTTTGGTTTTTTGGGTAAATTTGAGTCCTCCGATTTTTGGTCCTGATTCTTTTTCGCTTCATCTTCATCAGCTGTGGGATGCTTCCGCTTTTTATCTTCTGTTAAATCATTAAGCATTCCTCCTTTTGCTTTCTCAGTCCACGCCTTTAAAGAAAGTACATCATTAAACAGAAAACTACAAATTAGGCCACAAAACTCATCGCTTTATTTTATACACTTTCCTTCTCTGATTATAAGGAAGCACTGAAAGAATTCCTATTAAGAACTAATAAGGATCAAGTTAGGAACAATTTCCTCGCTCTCCTTTTTTGTAAAACCATTCTCCTTCAAAACCATACTTCACTTGAGCCTGTATATTAAATTGAAGCTCTCAATCGTCTTTCTGGACAAATACGAAACCCAAAAGGCCTTAGACAAATTTAAGCCCCAATGAATTAAGCCTAGCTATGTCATTTTTAACTCCTTCCCTTCTCTTTCGTTACCTCTTCATTGATTACGTTTCTCTCACATGCCCCACTTTGGGAAAAGCTGCTTTCTGCTGTTACTTATTATTCAGATAGTTCATATTTTCATAAAGTATATGTCATAGATCACAGCCCAATTCAAAACTGAAGTCCATGAAGATGGAGAACAGTGGAATTTGAAGAAAACATTCCTAACTGCAAATAACCAAGGGATTCCATGGGGGGGAAAAATTCTCAAAAAAACAGAATTAGAGAATGCTTTCTTACCATTCTTTCTTCTGATGACAGCATTCTAAATCGACTCATGCCTTCTTTTATTACTTCTGCTTCATTCAGATCAGGATTATCTGTCAAAATGTTTGCTCTGTTCTCTTCTAGCCACATCTGGAAACCTGTCTTTGGTCTAAAACAAGCACACAAAAATTGTCTGTTTAAGAAGGTTATAGGAAAATCATGTCCTCCAAAACAACATTTCTAAACACCACCTAAGTGGACTTTTTTGTTCTTGAAAGAAAAGACTATATATAGTCAGCAGTTTGCTTTCTCCTATTGCAGTATGCTTAAAGAACATGCTGACAAGGCAAGACTAAGTCAAGCATTTTTATTAAAACTGTGATATATATATGGAGATTAACATTTTAGTTTTAGAATGACAAAGCATAATGGTTCTTTTCCTTTCTGACAGGGTCCCATCAACCTAAAAATAGAGCACATATATTAGCATGTTTCAGCTAATCCTTTTCACAGTTCTCCTTGCCACTTGTTTTATAACATTATCTGTAAAGGTTAATGAAAAGAATGCTAGTCCAAATGAATAATAATTACCTTCATCTTCCTCAGTTAAATGGAGTCTAAATGAAACATGATTATAATAATGCAAGTTTCATGAGGACTGGGATTGTTAGAACATGCATCTGCTCCAGAGGAACAAGACAGATTAGAGTCTTAGCTAGGAAGAGACAGGCTGCTTAGGTGCTATAAGTTTTTTGTGTGTTTTCTTTTTTAAAAAACATGCTAAAATAAAGCTTTTACACTTTCACGTAAAACCCTTAGCTTTTAGGCCTCCTTTGAGATTTGCTAGAGATGTTTAAACTTTAAGTATTTCCTATACTTGGAACTGGCACTTCAGCATGGTTTCATTTATCATTCAAAGGTCATTATCAGATGCATAAGTAGTATCAAGGCAAAAATCGTTGCTTAGAGCCCCAAAATTACATTTTGCATTGTTCATTTATTATTCACTCACACACGTATTCGTCTCAGGCCGATGCAAAACTTCTACTTTGAATAACACTGCCAGGCACACTGGGAAAGATTTAATGAACAGAATGCTTTTCTCTGTTCTCTCACTGTGATTGTAATGTGGCAATTTGGAAATCCAATCCATGTTTTTTTTTAGGCAGGTTTGTTCGATAATATGCATAGTGTAAGTAGCAGTTTACTAGATTTCTGAAGCAAGTTCACAAATGTGACAACTTGTGCACTAACACTTTAATCTTGATGTTATGCTACTTCAGCCAGTCTAACGTCTTCAGAAAGAAAACAGGTTTCGGACTTGCTATTCTACCGGAATTGGAATATGGCATTAAGATGCAAGTGTTCATTCACCTTTTGTTTTCAGTGTTCTCCTGTGCAGTGACTTTGACTTCATGGGACTCATTTCCTGCTTTTTCTTCTCTTTCTTCCACTGTTTTTTCACTAGAGTTAGGTGTACGAGCCTGGAAGAAGGAGGCTGCTAAAGCCTATAGAAATGGAGGGTAAAAAAAAAAAAAACCAAAACAAAAAACCCAAAGGTAAGAACATCTCACTCTCAGACAACACGTACCATATAGCCTAACAAAACCCAAGCCTTTCCTAAAGACATAATAATCGCTTGTATTAATATAGCATCTAATCCATCCCATTGCAGCACAGCAGATGTTTAGGTAACACTATTTCAAATACAAGCACAAGATTCAGTGCAGAATGTAATTTCTACAACTGAAGTATTTTTTTTGCTGTTTTATGTGCTTTTATAGTTTCTGCAGTATCCTTAAGTGAACCTTGCCACCTAAGGTGCTTTACACAATCAACAGGGTTTCATACTTGATAAGAGCTGGTAAAATTCAATTTACTGTTCTTTGCTCACTGAAACAACGTAAAAAGACTAGAAACATTACCTGCTTGGACTTGGGTTTGGGAATCAGAGGCTTTATAACTGGAGGGTTCTGCTTGTTTACAGCTCGACTGCTAGACAAAGAGGTTTTCTTTGAGTATTTGCTCATAGTATCTAGAACATTTGCTGAGTGGACAACTGGGTCCTTTTTGTTAGATGACACCTAGCAAAACAAATAAATAGACATTTTATTTATTTTCTGCCATGCTCCCCTCCTCTGTCCCTTCAAGATATCTGTCATAGTTATATTGTAAACTTTAGATATAATAATCTATTGTGCTTTTCAGAATGCTACAATCAAACCAGCTGCAAAATTCTTACCTTAAAGGGATTCACTCGTCCTTGGCTGCTTGATGCAATTACAACTATTTAATAGGAAATAAAGAAGAATGTAAAATATGTGCGGGTGTGTACACACACATACATAGACATCTAGGAAGCAACATGCACATTTTAGATGAGTAGATGAAACAACATTAGCCTCATTTCCAAAGAACAAGGCTAACTCTCCTTTTGCATGTTTCAGCCTATGTTCATTGAAAATTGAAGAAGAGAACTAAATCAAAGGCATCAACTATTCCACACCAAAAGTTCCCACTAGGCTTAAAAGTGGTCAGATAAAGAGAAAGACACTTTAATGTAACCATGAAGGTTATACTGTACGTACTCAGCTATTATTAGTCACCAGAAATGCCACGCAGGACCAACAGCTTAAAATACAAATCCACAGGAAGATCCAGTACTTCCTCCACTCCCAAATCCGTTTCCAGTCCTATTATTCTTGCTAGAGGGTTGGCAGGAGGGAAGAAGCAAGAAGCAGCAAGGGGTTGCATTCTGCCCCTGCCTGCTCAGACTCACAGTCCTAAGGCAGGGTTATTAACTCTGCCCTGTAAGTGCAACCAATAAATGTGCCTGTGATTAGTAAAACAAATCAATTGATCACTTCGCATTTTTCCCCTGTCCCAAAGGATGCCTTCGTGACATAGCCAGGCAGACAACTGATTCAGCATTTGGCACAGCTGAGGCAATCAGCGTAGCGTTATGGAACATCATTAGGTAATGAAGACATCGACAGGAATAGGGACCCTCTTAAAAACGTGAGAACAATAATCAGTGCAAGTTACCACCTGGCAACACTGTGATGCACTAAATTTTAGTAGTAATGGGAGAACGGAGGATAAAAACAGGAGCAGGTGTTGTGAAGCATGACAAAGTTCTCAGCCTGGAATAAACGGAGATTTACTCACCAGACTTCGGAGTAGTCACCTCTGCTGAAGTGACAACTTTGGAGAAAGGATTTGGCCCTTCAGAACAAAGAAAGAGGTACGTATTTAAGTGCGATAAAATGTAATAGCATAACTTGTTAAAAAACAAAACCCCATACGGACAGCAAGTTAGAGTAAAGCAATCTACATTTTAAAGCTTGATTCTCAAATTGTACATACGCTTTTACAAAACCATCTGTTACCTTTACCTAGATTTAACTTAAAGAGCTGTACACTTATTCCCTACCTTAAACTTATTCCTTAAAGTGTACCCAGCAACTACTTGTCTATCAATCCAGCTCCTGCAAGATCTGAGCTGAAACCAAAGTAACCATTTCACAGGGTGACCCAGTCCATTAGCAATAGTATCAGACAACAGGAAAAACTCCCCGAAGGTCCCTCGGTTACTAAGTACAATGCACGAGCAAGCTGCTACAGAGCAGGTGATGCACACTACGCTTGTAACTCTGCGGTGAGTGCAAGCACAGGCTGGAATACGCATCCGCTCGCTCAGGTAGGCACTACCACTCATCTGCCACAGGGAATTCCAGGTAACGGGAAGCTCAGAGGCAGGAGTTACTGCATGTCAACACGTTATTCATGCTGCGAAGTTTTTCACATGTCAACACCCAAATAAGACAGATCAGAAACTACCAGACCTGTTCTAACTGGGTAGCGGAAAACCTAGTCCCTGCTACAGTTGCAGAGTTTCAAAACTCAGTGAAACAAATGGGATTATTTTCTATTCACACAAATGGTTTCTAAATCAAACCTCCCGTACCTCACCTGTGGTGCCCCTTGACAGGTGGTGTGTGCCTGTCTTTCATAAATTTTATGTCAAAAAACAAAACAAAACAATAGACAAAAACCCCTTTGTTTGCACAGTCCTATAGACCGCTGAGTTATCCAAACTACAAATTATCTGGGAATTTTCCAGAATTCCTTACTAAGACTGTGAAAGACACATCTAGATAACTTCCAGCCTATTCAGAGAATATATTTTTCTTACTCTTTTCATGCACTTCTGGTGTTGCTTCTACTTCCTCATAGGCATCCGTTTCCTCAGCATCTTCCATTTCTTGGTCCTGCTGTTTTGCTGAACATTTCTGACTGACAGCCGACTCCACTCCGTGGCAGAGTTGCTGTAACTTAAATGGAAGGAATTCAGCAGAAAGGAAGTGCTCACCACAAAAACTGGAACAAAGGAAGGCTAACTTACTTATCTAATTTAGGAAACAAGAACAATAACGTTTAGCTTTTCATTTGCATTATACCTCTGATTAAACTGTGGTGATTACTAAAAATAAAATGAAGATTCATTAACCACTTCAGTTCACCCTGAAACACCAAGTGCAGTTGCCTGAAGTGGTACTCATGTAGTTTTAAGAAAGACCACAAATGGCTACGAAACTGCCCAAAATTCACACTCAGCTAAAAGTAGATGCACTGGCCTTCAAACAGCTCCGCACACAAGAGCAAGCACCCGAACACCAACTGCAACCTCTTACCGCCTTCAGAGTGCATTGCTATTGTTACCAGCACACTTTGCCACAAATAAATGCAAACGTAAAGCATCTTCTGTAATCTCCATTTAAGCACGATTGCCTCCAATATCATAAATAATACTAGATTACTTTTCTGCATACATGAATAAATACACAGGTGGATGCCTATTTTCAGTCTGAGGCTTAGGAATCAAGTTTTAATGTTTAATCTGATTATTCTCTAAATTGCCAGTATAGTAGTATGCACATTTCTTGCATTTCCCTCCTAATCTTTGCTGATTACTAAAATCTGGGTATACATAAACTAAAGGTTCATTTATTTCAACCAGAATGTCAGCAATTAATCTGACACTAAGAACAATATAGTGTTTGTGATGAATTTTAACCTTCAGAGTGGCTGAAGTCACAGACTTGGGATTATAGCTTCTATTCATGATCCAGAAGAACAAGGTAGAGCATTTAGAAAGGAGTTTTATATGTGCAGTTTCACACAGAAGAATAAGGGAAAGGCTACAGATAAATTCAGGGACTTATCTCTCCCTCTTGATAAGTAAGTTCCAAACTTCATACGTGAAATGGCTACAGGAAGACATTGCTTCTGACAAAACGTTGTGACATTTTTTCTGCACTATCAGACTGGTGGTTAGCAATTATTTGCCTTATAGCTGTACCATCCAGAGGCCAAGCAAGAACACAGCTCTTCTGTATGGTCTATATTTTAAAAAAAAAAACCCCACACATCTTTTGCCTCATCATGCTTTACCAAACTGATGCAGGTAGGAGAGGAAAGGTAGATAGCACAGATAGAGGGGGAAAAAAATTCATAGCAAACCCATAGTATTTCCATAGGTTTGAAGAGCTGGGATTAACTAGGAGGGAATAAGAGTAAATAGGATACACTGAGATGGGATACTGAAAGAGGGGAAGGCTGGAGAAAGACAGAAGGATTTTAAGCTGGGTGTGGAATGCAGTGAGATAGAGACTGAAACAAAGAGGAAAAAGCTTGCAGTCAAATAACCAAACCAGCACAAGCTAGGGAAAGGGGGTAGAAAAGAAAAAATTCTGATCAGAGCAACTTGGTATTGAGTCTGCTTTGCCTCTGAAGCTGTTGTACACAGACATACAGTAAGCAAGGAGCAGAAATAATTCCCTTAGTGTTAGTATCCTGGTACTAATGAGTCCTCACAAGATATCAACAAGAATGTACCATTTTATATGTACAATTTATAAGTAGAGCAACACAAACTGTTACTTCGTAACAAATACATGGCAAACTATGGTCCAGAAAAGTGCATCAACTGGACCAAAACGTTAATAGATCAGTAAAAATGTTCCCAGGTTTTTAACCGCAGAAATTTGTGTTACCCAGCACTCAAATGCTTTCGGAAATCCTCTTCCTCCTCTTCATCTTCCAGTGCTGTTGCCAACTCACTTGCTTTCTCTACCGCCATTTCACTAAGTCGCTGAGCTAAATTTAGTCTTCGAGAGCGAGAAGCATACTTGATAGCTAAATTCACAACGTTTTGTGTCATGAGGTCAGCAAGTTCCATACAACGAAATTCACGCTCCAGTTTACAAGAAAGCTGAAAGAAGAGAAGCCTTGAGTTACACACTTCACAGATACACAGCTCTCCTAAAACTCTAGGACCAGAATATTCTGGTCTTGGTGGAGTGAATGAATACAGATAAACCACCAACAATCATGAGCTGCACAGCAAAGAAAAAGCTCTTTTTCTTCTTTTTTTTTTTTTTTCCTTCCTCCTACCCTTCATACTGATAAGCAATAACAATATTAAGTGCAGTCCACCTCTTATCATAGACTGCGAACTAGCTAGATCGCCAGTCACTAGCCAGACTTCTAATAAGAGAAATCACATCAAAATTTACATCAAATGCCACTGACTCAAAATAGTCTCAGGGATGCTTTCTATTTTTTACTTATTTGTACTTACGGCAAACAGTTTCATTAAAAGTTCTTGCTGTTCTTTCACTGACTGATTTTTAGTATTTTCATCAAGTTCGTAGCCATTTTTTGATAAGTAATCCAGGTGGTTGTGAAATACAACGGAACGCCAGTATTGCTCCTGAAAAAGGGAGAAAGATGGATGCTGGAGGTCAGAGGGGGGGGAAAAAAGCCCACGACTCAATGCCTGACAATTTACAAATCATTTTATCAATTTGCTGAAAAAGGGAGAAAGATGGATGCTGGAGGTCAGAGGGGGGAAAAAAGCCCACGACTCAATGCCTGCCAATTTACAAATCATTTTATCAATTTATTCTTAAACGTTCCTTTCATCTTATAATGAGGGCGAGGGGTAGACAATTCTCCTTAAAAGCCAATGCCTACAGAGGGAAAAAAACAGACCATACTAACAACCATCTGTATACAAACTGATCCAAACAGTCACCATATATGTTAAATTCCATTTATATTACATTTTTTTTCAGCAGGACAAGACCTACATGTTCACCAGTATGCTACCAGGACAGACAATTCTAGAACAAGTTGATTATTTTATCTTATAACTTCTGTCGCACAGCAAATTGACAGTATTCCAGAATAACTCCCTAACTGTAGGAGTAATCATCATCTGTGAGACAGGTAAAGAGAAAATATAACTCTTGTTGTTCAGGGAAATACTAGTACGGCTATTAGACCAGGCTAGCTCTGTTAGAAAATAATTATAAATTTATTCAAAACCAGCATGTTTTCACCAGATGTATTGGAATAATCTGCTTCTTTATCTACACAGAAGTACATACTCCCTCAAGCTAAGTTAACAGTTCCTGGCATTTCCCTTCTATTATTTTGGGGGTGTGTGTGGAAGACATACCCCATCAAATAAAGAACAAAAAGGGTTGAACCAAATGAAGGAGAATTCATTAAAAATGACAAAGTGTTTATTATCCAAACTTTTTTATCTACACCTCTATCAAAGAGAATAAACTTCAAATAGCATTGAACTGCTCTAAGGTTGAGGTTAGAATTTTATGGTCATTTCTATTTTGTGCACTACAGCTGAAACCCAGGAGAGCGAAATATTTAAACCTATAAAAAAATTGAAGAATAAATACAGATATTCTTCTAGAAGTTCTCCGCAGGTACATCTTGCTTCAGCCAGCCTCCACCTGAAGAAAAGGAGCCAAGCCTGAAGGCCTGTGTTTTCAGAGTGATTATATGAATTGGAGCACTTAGCACATCTTTCAAAAAAAACATCTTCCAGAAATTTTGTTATGCCTAAAATATTAAAAAAAACCAGGCACCTTTCAAGAGGGTCTTGATTTGGATCCCAAAAATGTGGTGCTTCCTAGAACACTAATCACTACCCACTAGAAAATAAAAAAAAAAAAAAAAAAGAGACGGATAGAAAGACCTCATTGGTCAGAAATAGATTATGTGTAAATATAACCCTGCATCAGCTCCAACAGCTTTATTTGTATCCTTCTAGAAACAGTTGTGAACCAAACCAAACCAGAAAACCTATACAAAACACTGAACCCAAATAACCCCCTTAGCTACGTCTTACTCAGAGTTTGTACTACCCTCTTTCATAGCAGAGATGATTAATAGGAATTCTTGTATAATCCCTACGATAGGGACATCTGAGACTATCAGCTGTGGACTCAACACCATTCCATACCTCCATCTGTCCCTTTTCTGTTGTAACTTGACAGTAAGGAAGTTTAAAAGATAATATTGCTACAGCAGGCCGTGGTAGCGTAGGAGGGAATCGGGCTCCTTTACAAGGAATACACCTGTGCAAGGGAAACAAAAACCACATACAATCCTCATCACCTACAGTCACCAGTTGTTCTACATCTAAATCACGTCTCCTAAGAAGCAAGATACTTTAAAAGGATTTGTTCTTTAAAAAGTAGTAATTAAATTACTGACTTAAATATAGCAATATGTAAGGCTGCCTTATAAAGGGTTATTTTTACATTGCAACCAATAGAAGATTTTAAAACCAGCAAAGCACATGCTGCTCTTGTTCACACCAGAAACTCCAAATTTGGCACATAACAGACACAGGTCTCCATCTCCCACAATACATGATTTAACAGCTGTTACAAAATGTAACTGCAATTTATTAAAATCAGAAACTACTGAACAACTGAAGGCTACTGGAAAAAGAGCAGGCATGTCTACCATTTATTTTGATGAGGAGTTTCAGGCTTCATGAGAAGAGTGCTGTGTTCAGATACACACAGGGAAGGAAGAAAAAAAAAGAAAAGAAAAGAAAAAAGAGAGGGGTGAAATAGATAAGCATATACTAAAAGCGTAGGCTTATTGTTTCCTTATATTCCAACTAGTACTTTTCAGTAACAATCACTTAAGTAAAACATTGATTGGGGAAGAGCTGTATTTCCAGCAGCACCAATGGAACATTGACAAAAATATCTGGTTTTATAAGCTACTGGTTCAAACACTAGGAAAAAAGAGAACAGGAAGCATTAGTGTTCCGGCTATCTGTGTTAATTAAAGCATATGGTGCTTCTACAACCCTCCCCCCTTCTTATCTTTAATACGCTAGTGGCTTTGAATAAAATGTTCTTTGCAACTCGGAGAGTAACACATTTTTGGAATAGAAGGAAAAAAACTCGTGATGACAGACCATCAATTGACCACCCCGATCAATGTGATGTGTCCCGCACATTTTTGATGGATTTTCTGGAGGCCAACATTACTTAATAATTTGGAGGAAGAAACACACAGTGAATTGACATTTACCAGTGATATCAAATTATTTCCCTTATTACAAAAAAACAGAGGATTACACAGAATGTCACATATGTTTAAATAAAATGCAGTTTCTCACCAACCTCTACAATTGTGCCTGACTAGCAAAGTAAAAGAGCCTAAATTTCACTAAAATACGTGAGCTGATAGATTCTGCCCCAGTAGGTTTACACAGATGGCTGAATAAAGAGAACTACAAACAAAGCTTAGCACCTAAATGTCCAGGATGCATGTTACAATAAAGAGAAACAAGAGTTATTTAGACATCACCAGTATCACATTTTATGAAGTAATAGATAACTGTCAGCTAAATATTTGAGCAATTTTACATACAAAAATTGTTCTTCATGGCTACAGTTTACCTATTAATATAATAACAGACAGTTCTGATTTATCTATGCCTACTGATGTAGACCAGTTACAGGATTGGACTCTTCTCAAAGGGACAAGAGGGGAAAACATAGCTATAGCAAAAAAAAAAAACCCAAAGCCCCCCCTCCCCCCAATCAACCAACAACAACAAAAAAAACCCCCAAAACAAAACCCCTAAAACCCATCAACAGCAGAAGCAGATTCCTAACAGCAACCATAACTTTTAGTAGGTTTCTCTAGCAAAATGCAGTCTTATGAATGTGTCTGCATCAGAGATGTGTGATTTCATACAGGCACATGCCTGTTAGCCAAGGCAAAAAGCCACAATTAGTCAGTTACAAATTATAAAACTCTAATGAGTTTATTCAAAACCAATTTGGTAACGAAACATCCATGCAGAATTACATTCATGAACTAGATCATTTACTGTGCATATTTACTAGCCACCTGTTTTAGTAAAAGCTGTTTCCAGTTTCTCTTAGTTAGAAACGCTCTGTAATTTAAACCCAAGACAAACAAAGCACTTCCTTGTGAAATAGCTGACCTGAGCTGCTGGGGATTTTCATGGATGCCAACTACCCAGTAATGATCAGATTTTCCTTTGCAATGCTCTCTCGTGTTACACACGGGAATCCAAGTATTTCCAAGTCCCCGGTTCAACATCCGCACAATTCCCTCAGAATCCACGTAACAAGGGGTACCTGTTTGTAACAAATGAAAACAATTATTCTGACAGGCAGCTAATTACAACACGAGTAAGTTTGAACTGCTGGATGCTGCTGGGGAAACGATGGTTTACGTATCTGAAATACCACATCCTCTCACCCAAACGGTACAGCCTAGCTGAGAAAAATTCATTCCCTTAGAAAGATGCGCCACCTTCTGACAGTCAACACTACTGCTAGATAACTGACTCACGTTCAGATTTAAAACATTTTATGAAGAAATCAAATTCCTGCTACTTGGGTAGATTCCCAAAGAAAATTAGCTATTTTACAATTACTTTTTCTGGTTAGCATAAAAACTCCTCCCAAGCTACCAACTTTTTTGGGGAGGCTTTTGCCGAGATAGTTGAACATGCCGATTACGGTGTATTAACACTGTTTATTTCTTTTTGCTGAGCAGGGCAATCAATTGGGAAAACAAGTTCTGATAACATTCAAGTGTATTCTATTCACAGGGGAAACATATTAAAGATTTCTGATAAATATACTGAAAGAATAGAAAAATAGGATTTTGTTTAGCACTGAGAGGACTGAAAACAGAAGTCCCAAGATCACCATTACTAAAAGGGCATTAATTAGCCAAACTCTCCTCCAAAATTCCCCCAAACAGCATCGAGATTTCTCAACATCACTCATACAGGTATTTCATACCTTCTGCAGAGAATCCAACCCATATCAAATAGGATTTCTTTGTAAGAGAAAGAGGGTCTCCATGCAAAACTTGTTTTTTGTTTTTTCCTAGCTCCATCAGCTGTACTCCGAGGCACTGATCGCCATCAAACCCAGTACCTAGGAAGAAGTTGTTCAATGACTATGTTAGAAAATACAAGAATTGTCTTGTCTTTTGGCTAAATTTAAGTTTTGAATCAAAAATTAATTCTAATGCAGGGTTATCCATGAATACCACTGTCAGACAAGCAACTATTTGTCATTTTGGACATACAAAGCGTGCATAACAACTGCTTCCTTAATTTCCTATAGTAATTCATTCTGGCATATCTAAAACCCAAGTTTAATCTATTAATATCACTGTTATAAAATTCCCCCCTTCCCCCCAGGTTACTCTAGGCATCCCAATATAAAATGTAGGCTTTGCTGTCAGATGTCAAAGATCCGTGGGTTGTGACAGTAAAAGCATCATCAAGAAGAGAAGAATAAAATACTTCTCGTGATTACGTACAAATTAACCAGTGTTTGAAGCCAGCAACAGATGAGGATTGAAAACATAACCCCAGTTCAAAAAAAGACAGAAGGGAGAAAACTACCTCTGTGATAAATAATCATCAACTGCTCTCCATGTCCTGCCATAGACACCACTGGACCTGGGAGACTGAAGATCTCTTTCTGAACTCCTCCAACTGTAAACACACGAACTAGCAAGGCACTAGTGGCACAGGCAGCCCAGCCTTGCCCTAGACAGATGGCCTCAATGTCTTCGTCCTTTGGCATATCTACTGTCCACTCCTTGTTTGCATCCCATGAGCTAAAATGAATGCAGTGGAGCTTGCTAAAGCAGAGACAAAGAAAAACAGTCAAATATCTCAACATGAAGAAAAAGACAACATCTGAAAATACACCAATATATTAGGTTTTTTATCAGAGACCTGGAATCTGTGATGGTCATAGAAAGGAACTACAAATTACAAGAGGTCATTCGCAAAGGTGTTACTCTTATTACTCAGGAACTGGAGAGCCAGCTCGACCTCCAGCACTGTAGATTTAGAGCCTCTAAAGCCCGAAGCTGAGACAGTTTACAGGTCTGAGGCGAGATTTTTTTTTAGATGGAAACAGGTAAGTGTCCTGCTTAAATAACATTAATAAGAACTAAAGGTGCTCGGTACCCCTGAATATCAGCCCTCATTACAAGTCTGTCATATTATGCTATCTTTCAAAGGGAAAAAAGAAAAAATTAGGAACTTCAGTTCTGCCATCTTAATAATTGAAAAATGCCCGTGACCAATTCACAGACATGGCAGCTTTTGACAGACTACACACTTCCACTGAGAAAAAAAATCCAAAGTTTCAGAGTCAGACAACCAATATATATAGATAATACTTTTAAAGGTAAAGGGTGCTTTTCAACTTATCTACAATGTTGTATGTGTGAAAAATAAGAAGAAAATTCTTTCTTCAAGGTATTTCCACAAAAAATGGCAATAAAATATTGTTGCTATTGTTCTTAAATGCAAGAACAGAGTCTAGCTGGCCCAGCTGCTTAAATCTTTCTATGGTTTTCACAAACTTGTGTTCTTCACACTTATAACTCTTTGGGTATCTCCAAACATGTCTCCTTAGCAACAGTGTGAAAAGAAATAGCATAGCCCTGATGATTTATCTTTGATCTGAGCAGACTGATAAACTATTGTTCATGTTTACAATTTCCTTTGAGCTAGCAATGCATGAAGTTTCCGCTATATATATCTATATATATATATATTTGAAAAAGGGATTAAAAAAAAATCCTCAGGAAACAGAATATATCTTTCAATATTCTTGAAGTCTTCAAGTGAGTGGGTGTGAAATCCTCCTCAAAAGTAGTCCCATAAATAAAAAGCATGATCAAAAGCCAAAAATCTCAAAAAGTGATAGAAGCTGAAATTAAAAGCCGAAATATTTGAAACAAGCTAAGTGTGGTTCCATACTACGGGTTTTGCAGAGCAAGGCCATGACTTACCTTGCAAGTTCCTCTGTACTCTCACAGGCTAGTAAAATAGCTTCAGTAGAGAGGTCAGCCATCGTGTGATTCAGAGAGTTTGGCAGGTGTGTTGCATGATGTATGGAGGTATCATGAAATTCTATATCTATAGCATTGTCTTGCTCATCATTGTAACAGCGAATGATACCAACAGAATTCCATACCTATTAAAAAGAACACCCCCCCAAAAAAAGAAAAAGAAAACCAAAACCAACAAATCAAGCATACTGCACAAGCATACAGCCTGCTATAACTTTCTCATCTGAAACAACAGTAGGTGGGAGGCTGGAGGAAGACTGAAGACTTGTGTAGTAAGGACTTGTAGTTGCTAAAAAGGCTGAATTAGGCAGAAAACTATTTTCATCCTCATTGCTTAGCCATCTTTCTCCTTACAAAATTAAGTGTGAAGAACTTGCAGTTAGAAAGAAACAGTGGATGATTCACGTACAAATCTTAACACACACACAAAAAAATCCACAAGTTCTGGATAAAGAGGAATTTCAAAAAAAGATTTCCTACAATTCAGTAGCACAGGTACAAACTGTGTAGCTTGCTTTTGTCTTAAAGCCAAGTATTTATTTCTACATCAAAAGCAATCAAAAGATAAACCACAACATTATGCAGTCTTTGCATTAACACAAAGCTTCTTTCCACCATTTAGCTTCACACTGTGAATCAAAAATCTTGGAAAAAATTAGATTAAGACACAGCAAGAACTGGACAATGTTAACAAAGCGACTAGATCTACATAACCACACAGCTGGGAGATTTACCATGAAACGATGCATGAGATGTGCAGGAGTGGAGCCAGACTGGAACGGCTTTTGCCTGGGGGTTGGCATTGGCCCGTCATAGAAAGGCTGCTGTGTAGATGATGGTGGCAAAGCTGGAAAGCCACCAGTCTGATCATCATCGTCATCTTCCTTTTCAAGAAGATTGGAATTAGCTTTTATCATCCCGATGTCTAGAAGTTAAAAAAATTACTTCTTACGCATATTATTATGACAGAATATAGGTAAGAAATTTTAAAACAGTCAAGATTTTTCTGGAAAAATAGGGCAGAATATATCTGAGCAGAGGATGCTAAGAGATCGTCCCAATAACAGCACTAAAGAGCTCTGGAAAATTAGTTCATTCTGTACCTAGTGAGTTATCATCATCATCAATTATTGCCCGTCTCGGATGCCCTGAAGTTGGCATAAGGTCATCATCATCACCATCATCGTCATTAGCTCCAGCCTTTGGGGAAGACTGTGGTTCAATCATATCTCCACTTAAATAGTCGTCATCTCCATCAAAGAGATCATTGTAGTCTTTTGTCACTGTACTGGCAACCTAAAACCATGTTAATAATTATCATAAAACTTCTTTTGGAAATGGAATTCAAAGAATGAATTAACACGCAAGAGGGAACTTTCAACACACAATACAGAATGTTCAATATAATCTGGTAAGCTAAATAATCTTGTTAATTTAAGAAAGAATTGGTACTGATCACCTTGTCACTTGGTTTCTTTCCATCACCGATGTTTTCCAACAAGCCCAGATTTCCTTCAGTATCTGTATAAGCAATTTGCTTATATTTGGGGTGCCATGCCAGTCCACAAATTGAGAAATTTTTCTCATGTTTCATCCTAAAAAGAATATAAAAATAATGGATGTTTATTAAGCTTCTCGGGGCAGAAACATCCACAAGAGTTACTGTAAAAAGTGGTAATATTTGCTAGTATTAGAAAGTGATGTTACACATAATAAAACAATTAATAGGTCACCTTTAGAATAAACAGCTACTATAAAAAAAAAAAATACAGCAGGTCTTCCTTTTCTATGGAGAAAATCATTTAAGCTTTAAAAATCAAACAGAATCACATTATTAAAACAACAGCTTCCCAGTACATGGAGAAAAGACAAAGTAACACCCCAGCAGTCATATATTCCAGAGCCATCCAGTTATAAAAAGAACATTCGGTTGTTTCTCTTGTACCAAACTGATGAGTTAATCCTCTATCTTTTCCACCCTTTATTCACACAAAAAATCCTCCCATTAATTATTTACATAATCTGTCTTTAATTCTTAACATAGCCATTACAGTAACAATCATGTTTCTTACCCAAAATATTCAGACAGATAAATCATCCCTTCTCTTCTTCTCTACCTCACTTAATCAAACCTTTTTTTTTTTCCTTTTCTTTTTCTTTTTTTTCCAAGAGAGAGTTGCTTTAACTAACCAAGATGAAGTGCAATTTGTCAGTTTGTCCTTTTTTGCCTACAGGTGAGGATGGCTGACATATCTGTATTTCCCTCTCCCTTTAGAAAATACATCTTACTGCCAATGATCTTGGCGTTTGGGATGTGAGGAAAATTTGTCTCCATCAAAACTAACCTTTAATCAACTATTAGATTAGAAAGTAATAAAAGATATTGGCACACAGAAAACTAGACTATGGGATTTGAACAAAATCCACATTCATGTCCCTTCCCTATTCTATTTCTATGAATGTAATGTTTCCAGATCCTTCTAGCTCTGCAGAAAGGAAAACAGGATATCACAGGAATCAGAACATACTTCTGTGCCTACTGGATATGGTGGGGGAAGGCAAAACAATGCCACATTTGTACCTACCACCAAGAGTTACGTGCTTGTGGAAGCTGCTTCCTTGCAGAACACAGAAATGATATGGCAGCCTTTGAATTTCCTTCAGCGTATGAAGTGCAGTATTATAGAATCATAGAATGGTTTAGGTTGGAAAAGACCTTTA